CTACATCTCAAAAAATAAATAAATAAAAAATAAAGAACATGGGAGCCAGCCTGAATGAGCTTCACTTGGCCAAATCTGAGACAATTTAAGCATCAAAACAAATCGTGGCAATAACAGTCAGCTGAGATCTTGCCACTGCACTCCAGCCTGGCAACAAGAGCAAAACTCCATCTGAAGGCGGCAGGGAGGGGAAATGGGGTCAGGGTAAGACCCTGTCTCAAAATAAAAATAAAGAAGTTAAATCAAACAAATAACAATGTACAATCAAAGTCCTCAGCCATTCTGTAGAACTTTGGAGGATGCTCGCTCCAATGAACTCCTGTCACCCTCACTACTCTGCTTGTAATCTCAGCACGCTGGGAGGCCGAGGCGGGAGGATCACCTGAGGTCCAGGAGTTCGAGACCAGCCTGGTCAACATGGTGAAACCCTGTCTCTACAAAAATACAAAAGTTAGCCAGGCGTGGTGGCTCATATCTGCAATCCCAGTTACTGGGGGATGAGGGGAAGCGGAGACTGAGACGGGAGAATCACTTGAACCTGGGAGGCAGAGGTTGCAATGAGCTGAGATCACACCACTGCACTCCAGGCTGGGCCAGTGGGTGAGACTCCATCTCAAAAGACAACAGTAATAATAATAAAAAAATAAATTATCTGCCGGGCGCAGTTGCTCACGCTTGTAATCCCAGCACTTTGGGAGGCCAAGGCGGGGTGGATCACGAGGTCAAGAGATCGAGACCATCCTGGTCAACATGGTGAAACCCCGTCTCTACTAAAAATACAAAAAATTAGCTGGGTATGGTGGCGTGTGCCTGTAATCCCAGCTACTCAGGAGGCTGAGGCAGGAGAATTGCTTGAACCCAGGAGGTGGAGGTTGCGGTAAGCCGAGATCGCGCCATTGCACTCCAGCCTGGGTAACAAGAGCGAAACTCTGTCTCCAAAAAATAAATAAATAAATAAATTATCTACTGTGTGGTATTCTGGTACAGCAACACAAAACAAAGCTACTAAGTTATCATTTCTTCTAGGTTGGTAAATTTACAAAATGGCAATAAGCTCTATTGGTGAGTCTGTAAGACACAAGTATCCTCACACATTACTGGTGAGAATGCACACTAACGAGTGGAATTTGACATTGCCTAGCAAAATTACATATGCATTTGTCCTCTAACCCAGAAATCCCATTTCTAAAAATCCAACCCACAGATATTCAGGCAAAAAATACAAAAAGATATCCTTGCATTCTTTTGCTAACAGCAGAATGCTCAAAAAATGAAGACATGTCTAACGAACATGGAAGGCCAGGTGCAGTGGCTCATGCCTGTAATCTCAACACTTTAGGAGGCCAAAGTGGGTGGATCACCTGAGGTAAGGAGGTCAAGAACAGCCTGGCCAACATGGCAAAACCTCATCTCTACTAAAAATACAAAAAAAACAGCCAGGCGTGGTGGTATGCCCTCTGTAATCCCAGCTACTCAGGAAGCTGAGGCAGGAGAATTCACTTGAACCTGGAAAGCGGAGGTTGCAGTGAGCCAAGATCACACACTGCACTACAGCCTGTGCGACAGAGTAAGACTCCATCTCAAAAAATAAATAAATAAAAAATAAAGAACATGGGAGCCAGCCAGAATGAGCTTCACATGGCCAAATCTGGGACAATTTAAGCATCAAAACAAATCGTGGCAACAATAGATACTAACCCACTGACAACAATAAGGACGGCATAATGGGTAACTCTTTGAACAGAATGCCAACTCATACAGACAATAAATAAACAAACGAGGGCTAGGAAAAGTTCTCCCTTAAGATAAAATGTTAACTAATAAATGGAGACAGAATACTAGAGTTTAAAAATCACCCATTTTGCAACCATCACCATAATAAGCAATTCAGGCACCAATCACCAATGGGCCGGGCACAGTGGCTCACACCTGTAATCACAGCACTTTGGGAGACCAAGGTGGATGGTTCACAAGGTCAAGGGATTGAGACCATTCTGCCTAAGACGGTGAAACCCCATATCTACTAAAAATACAAAAAAATAGCCAGGCATGGTGGTACACGCCTGTAGTTCAGCTACTTGGGAGGTTGAGGCAGGAGAATCGCTTGAACCCGGGAGGTGGAGGTTGCAGTGAGCCAAAATCATGCCACTACACTCCAGCCTTGGCAACAGAGTCAAAAAAAAAAGAACAGAGTATGTATATAAACTATTTCCCCACAAATGGGAGAATTAATTACAAAGGAAAACAGTTAACTGAACAGTGAAGAAACCTTATTAATTACAAAGGAAAACAGTAACTGAACGATGAAGAAACTTCGTGGACATCCAAATGATCCAAGTGAACTTCATCAAGAACAAGGCAAGTCCCTATCCTTTGCCTTTTGATGGGATGCACTAAGAAGGATCAAGAGGACTTCTGTGGTAGTCCTGACAAATACACATATCCTATATCTATCACAGGGAAACACCAGGTAACAACTGGCTGTCAAAAATGTCAACATCTTGAAAGACAAAAAAAAAGGTTAAGGAATTACTCCAGATTAGATGAGACTTAAAAGACACGATAGACCGGGCGCGGTGGCTCAAGCCTGTAATCCCAGCACTTTGGGAGGCCGAGGCGGGTGGATCATGAGGTCAAGAGATCGAGACCATCCTGGTCAACATGGTGAAACCCCGTCTCTACTAAAAATACAAAAATTAGCTGGGCATGGTGGCGCGTGCCTGTAATCCCAGCTACTCAGGAGGCTGAGGCAGGAGAATTGCTTGAACCCAGGAGATGGAGGTTGCGGTGAGCCGAGATCGCGCCATTGCACTCCAGCCTGGGTAAAAAGAGCGAAACTCCGTCTCAAAAAAAAAAGACACGATAACCACCAGACACAACATGTGATGTTCAATGGGAGAGGTCTTTCATGGGTGACATTCCATAAAAGACATAAATGGGACCATTCACATGAATCTGTACTGTATATAGGATACTACTGTATATAGTTAACATATATATACTGATTTTGATGATTGGCATGTGATTCTAGAAGAGAAAATGTGTCCTCAGAAAGTACACATTGAAGTATTTCGGTATAAAAGGATATGATGTCTGCAACTTACTCTCAAACAGTACAGGCAAGTAATAATATGTATGGACATAGAGAGAGTGACAAAGCAAATGTTAACAGTTGGTAAAACTGGAAGAAGAGTACATAGTAGTTTTTTGTTCTCTTCCAGCTTTCAGTAGATTTGAAATTATTTCAAAAAAAGTTGAAAAATGCAAAAGCCTTCATTTAAAAAGTCTGGCTCAGAGAAGTGAGACTGGAGTTGTGAAATACTCTCTCAAAACTCACAGCCTAGTCATCCCTTTAAATAGACGAAGCTTTATTTTTGGATCCAGCAGATCCCTCTGTCCATATTATCCTGGCCCCCAGCACACCAGCGCTCACTCAGTTTGTTCTGGGGTTTACCAGAGGAGAATTCAAAGATAATGGGATGAAATTTATTTGTAAAAAATACTGTTTATCATGCTGTCCAATAAATCATTAGTGCCCATGATGATTAATGTTTCTTTTACAATTCATTACTGCAAAAAAGGCTTTTTTCACCCAAGAAACAGGTATTTCTCATGATTTCTGATGACAGGAATTACATAACTATGATGCTGTCAGAAAGACTAAGGTCGAATGTAGGGTGACTTTCCAGGCTCGTTCTTTTCCTTTGGCTTGGTTATTTTTATCTGAATTTTACCACTTTTTGTCCTATTTGGAGGCAAAACTCAATCCAAAAATCATTTTAGCTCTCTGGGAAACATAAGAACTACTGATGTGCTCAAGTTGGTAACTTCCGGCTCTTTCAGGCTCCTTCTGGCCATACACTGGATATGGGGAATTCATACGAGGATTCCCTGCCACTGTTTCTAAATTTTAACACCAACATCTGAAGCACAACTTTGGGCCACAAAATAATGATCTATAGACGCTGACTCTCCAAGTTAGCCAAGTTACATTAATCACTTACCTCAAAAGGTCAAAACTGAGCACGACATTTTGGGTATTTATAGGAAGAATGATGAGTAAGGTCCATGATTTAACTAATATTAAAAGCATGGCAACTCTGTGAGCATTATTTTATTTCTTCTACCAAGAAATCCTTTATATTTCAATCGCTCTGCAAGACCAATAACACAAAGCAAAAATCTCACATGCGAATGTGGAAATGAAAAATATTTTCACATGCTGGTTTCACCCTTGGCACAACTAGATCTGAGGAGACATGGGGTGAACCCATAGGGGGAGAGCATGAATTAGGGGAGCCAATAACTGGGAGAGGGAAGTTATATCAACAACGCTGATTTTGGCTTGTGTTTTAGGTTAGAAAAGCAAGTTCTAAAATAAAGAGCTATAGAGCTTGACACGATGTGATTTTTAAAAGAATTCACACAAGCAAAGAGGCAGATTTTTCCAGCCTGCAACCAATTCTGGTCGCTTCGGCAGCAAAAGGAAAGAACTATCAGTAGGAGATGGACTGTAGCAAATTAAAGAAAGCACCCCCACAAGGTTGTCAAGGAAACCAAACCAAGTGCATTTTTCTGTAGAAAAGAATCAAGGGTAAGGTGAACATGCCATGGAACATTTTGTGGCAAAAACGATTAAAATCCCTTCTTGAAAAAAAAACCTGTAAGAGACCAAATTTACTTCCAGGCTATTTTACTAAGCACTACATCCAAAATGCAAGCAGGCAAGCTTGTATTCCTAAACTACCAGCTAAATGGATTCGGCGATCACCTTACTATAACCAGCTAACTTGTGCCACTGATATTTCAGGCCATTTCCTAAGGTCTCTCTTCAACATCTTAACGGCATCGAAAGAAGAGGTCACATTCAAAAAGTTAAAAACCTCTACCCCAATTCCACAAACATGCTTTCCCAAATTTAGGGTGTTTTTCAAAATGGAGTCTTTTTAAACACATCATTTTTAGGCGAAAAGGCAAATATATGCAAACCAAAGCGACAGCTTGTTCTGAGTGTGCCATTTCATACTGGAAACGAGCAGAGAGGGCAGTAAAAAAGGTGTCAAGTTGGGAGATCGATGCAATTCTCTCCACACGTAGGTGGTAAAGAACCATCAGCCAGGGGGAATGACACACACATGCGGGCACAGAACGAGGGCCAGCGCTGAGAACGCTGGAAGGCAGGGACACCGTTCGCTAGCAGGTGAGTGACGTTAAAGGATCTGCAGCGTGTGCCTCACGGGGGCGAATATTCCCAGGAGGTCCGGCGCTCCCCGCGTCCCTCAGGGTGGCCACCCCGGCGGCGGCCAGAGCCGGGCTGCGGGTCCAGGGACCCGGGCACGTGGGGGGGAGGCGAGGAGCGCCGGGCTCCCTCAGAGTGGGTACCGCGTCCCTCCCCTCCGTGCTTCTCCTCTCGTGGCCCTTCCCGGCGGAGAACAAGGGGTTTTGCGACGTCAAGGCAAGGCTGGGAGGGAAGCCGCGGCCGGCGCCCCACCTGCCCAGGTGGTCGCCGGGCTCAAGCCTGGGGCGACAACGCAGGTCGACCTCCAGGTGAGGTGGACGCCGGGGGCCCGGAGCGGGGCCGCGGAGGAGCGGGGGTGGGCGCCGAGCGGCTCTTACCCGGTGCCACAGTCCACCACGCAGGGAGGCAGGGAGCCCGCCATGCTCGGGACGCGCGGCGCTCGGCCCCGCCGGCCGCCCGAGAGCGCCCAGCCGCTGTCCGCTCGGCCGCCCGCTCGTCCCGCGCGCCGCGTCTCCCGCGAGCCTCCGCAGCGCCGCCGCCAGGAGCCCGGATGCTCGGCGGCCAGCACGTGACGTCACTCCCCGGTCGGCCAATCAAGAAGCGCATACGCCCCGCCCCCTGGCGCGCCATCTTTAGTGCTGGCAGTTAGGCTTCTTGGCCCCACACGTCCAACCTTGCTGTTGGAGAGATTGGGGGTTATTTTTGAGTTACATGAACGTAACCCCATTTCTGATGCTTGGCGCCTTTCTCATCCTTTAAGTCTTGACTTAAATGTCACCTTGAGAGGGAAGTTGTTCCTGATCACGCTGACTAGGTTCCCTACCGGTACTTTATCCTCTGTCTCAACAATCTGTTGGTTTCATTCCTAACCCTTAAAGCAAAGTATTATATTTTTATATTTATGTATTTGTAGTCTATCTCCCCTACTGAACTATAAAATCTTGTAGGATAGGGCTTGAGTCTGTCCCTGCCTCCCTGCGTGGTGGACTGTGGCACTGGGTAAGAGCAGCAGGTGCTTAGCACGGTATTTGGTGTATATGTGGAAGTGCCCAAATGTTTGTGGAATGACTAACCTTCCCCATATAGAAAAAAAATTAGTTGGAATTATTATACTTAACACTGCCTAAATTCTTCTAAGAAGAAAAATCTGCAAAACAAATGCTTGGCCAGCCTTAAAAGGAATGAATGACCTTAGACTGACCTTAGAGTAAACCACATGAAGAACACTCCTGGAAAATGTTTTCAAGTATCAAAGATGGGATAATCGCCCAAAAGTTCTTACTGAACCCAAAGAAGGCAAAAACCGCCTACTCTATTATAAAGGTACTCAGAGTCTCACTTGACACTTGCTTCCTGCTTCCTGCCGGATTGTAAATTCTTGGTACTAATTTTTTAGGGGCTTTCTAGAAGCATATTGTCTTTACAGGTACTTAAAACATTGTGTTTTTTCCCTAGAAGTAATAGACACATTGACCACTCCTATGTAACCCATTATCATTTCTTTTTTTTAACTGGTAAGTACCCATTAAGGCCCAGACCTAGAGAACGTTCAGGAGAACTGAAAAGAGAAGTAAAAGGGCGGAAAATAAAAGGGAGTAAGTGTGGAAGAATCCCAGTTTAGGAGCCCAAGGCCGGGGTCAAAGATTGTCTGGCTTGCTTTGTGTTTTGTCAAAGCCCTGCCTAGCTCCCTTTCCTTTTTTTTTTCTCTTTGTTTCTTAGAGACAGGGTCTCACTGCGTTGCCCAGGCTGGAGGGCTGCAACTATTCACAGGCACAATCCCACTAGTGATCTGCATGAGCGTTTTGATCTGCTCCATCTCTGACCTGGGCCAGTTCACCCTTCCTTAGGCAACCTGGTGGTTCCCTGTTCTTTGGGAGGGTAGCATATTGATGCCAAACAGTGCAGATTCGTCAGTCTGGGTGGCACAGAACTCTTGGGTTCAAGGGATCCTTCCACCTCAGCCTCCCGAGCACTGGGACTACAAACAAGTGCCACTGCTCCCAGCCCAGCTCCCATTTTTTCATGGCCCTAGACCAAATATAGATTAATTCTAAATTACAGACTGTTGACACTGCCATGTCTTTTTATTTTATTACCTGTACACACATATATCAAGTGCCTACTGTGAGTCAGGCTTTGTATTAGACTGAGCATGCAACAGTAAACGGGACGTTCAGAATATCTGCCCTCAAGAGTCTAGTGGGAGACAGCAACAGTAAACAGGCAATTACAGTACAGTGTAGCACATGCTAAGACACAGCAAGTCCAAGGTACCCGGAAAGCCATTAGAGGGGCTGACTTGGGAATCAGTAGAGACTTCTCAAGGCAATGGTATTGAAGCTGAAACCTAGAGGGTGGGCAGAGAGTAGCTAGGTGGAGGAGACTGTAGTGGGGGAGAGTGTTTCTGGGCTGGATAACATGTACAAAGCCCAGTAAGACCTCAAGGCTTGTATGGGACCCAGCTACTTCACCAGGTAAGAAGATTTTAAAGGAATTTGGGACTGGCTAGTAATAAAGGGTGTGCATTTTCAGAAAGCATCTTCTCTGCATAAGACTTATTGGGATTGATGACCATGGTCAGCAGCTGGTAGAAGACAAAAGATTTCCTGACCTCAGTGATTTCCTCTAGACACCACTAACCCTTGATGTATCAAAGACGTTTTGTAGGCAGATAACAGAAAACCTAACTGAAAGTGGTACAAGGAAAGAGCCAATTTATTATCTCACACAATAGAAAATCCAGTGACTCCAGGATAATTTGATGGCTCAATGGCATCATCATGATCCTGTACCTTCAGTTCTACCAGGGCCCTGAATGTTGACGTTTGTCCTCAGCCTTGTCCCCTTGCAGTTTTGAGATGGCTGCAGCCACTCCATGCACCAAAATCATGATGGACAAAAACAGCGGAAGAAATGCCCCATCATGATGCCCTTTCTAAAAGGGAATGGGAGGAAATGTTTCCAGAAGTTCCCAGCTGTTTCTCTTCTTGTGTCATTAATCAGCTCTCTTTTTATTCTTTTTCTGGGGTGGCCATGACAAAATAGCACAAACTGGGTGGCCTCAACAAGAGATATTTATGGTCTCACAGTTCTGGAGGCCAGAAGGCCAAATCCAGGTGTCAGCAAAGACATGCTGTCTCTGAAGACTCTAGGGGAGGCTCTGTTCCGTAGCTTTCTCCCAGCTTCTGATGGCTGCTGGCAACCCTTGGCATTCCTTGGCTTGTAGGTGCAGCATTCCAATCTCTGCCTCCATGATCACGTAGCATTGTCCCTGTGTCTGCATCTTCACATGGCATTTTCCTCTTCTTAGGAGGACACCAGTCATGTTGGATTAGGGCCCACTCTAATGACCTCATCTCAACTTAAGTACACTTGCAAATATCCTGTTTCCAAATATCACATTCACCGGTGCCAAAGGTTAGGATTTCAGCATGTTTTTGTAGGAGAGACAATTCAACCCATAATTCCAACCTACACCAAAAGCAGTCACTGGATGGCTTCTTCATATTCCTAAATCTATAGCATTGCCAGAATCAAATGATGTTTATTACAAGTTCATTTGAGAATGGTGTGGGGACGAGGCAGTACTCAGAACAGGAGTTATGAAATAGTCACATATGATTGTTAGATGTAGTGAACTCCAAGTTTCTCTTCAAAGAATCAGTGTGTCAGTATGCTCAGCTCTCTTATTCTTTAATTCTCTATTTTAAAGTTTAACTTCCTTGTAGTTTCAGTAAACAACCTTTTCCACCAGTTCTAATCAGTGGTTCACATCTGTTCCCCAGTCCCCTGCCCTGTCCTAACTCATCCCAGTCACCTGCCGTAGTCACCTGCCGTGGTCACCTGCTCTGGTCACCTGCTCTGGTCACCTGCTCCAGTCACCTGCTCTGGTCATCTGTTCCAGTCACCTGCTCCAGTCACCTGCTCTGATCACCTGCTTTGACCCCAGCTACCTGCTCTGACCTGCCCGTAACCATCCTTCCCACCAAACTACCCACCCCGCCACTCTGGCTCGTACCTCTGGTCCCAATCAGAATTTGACTAGACTGTGCGGTCTAACCCTAGCCAATAGAGGACCGACACAGCAGTAGGAGTGACCTCCATCAGGAATAAGTACCCCTTGTCGAGGTGTGCACTTGTCATTGTTCCGTCTGTGAGCCCGCACCCTTCTATAGAAGTAAATTGCCTTCTATAGAGGAAATGTATATTTGAGTGCTACTTCTTTTGCGGCAACGAAAATTTTACATATAACATGATATACTGAGTTGACTTAGATTATTGAAGAAGACCCCCTTGGGCTGGAGGGAGACCTCATTTCCTCTGAAATCTATGGCTGCCAATACTGGACCGAAATTGGGTTTGATCAACAAGAAGAGGAATGTCCATTGTGTGAAGACACAGCACTGTCTTGTGAGAACACAAGAAGGCAGCTGTCTACAAGCCAAGAGAGACCTCGCCAGAACCCAACTCTGCTGGCACCCTGATCTCAGACTTCTAGCCTCCAGAGCTGAGAAAAAATAAATGTCTGTTGTTTAAGCCACCCAGTCAATGGTATTTTGTCATGTCAGCCTGAACAGTCTAAGACAATTCTCTGTATATTCTTCTGTCTTATTCTTAGACTGTAAACTGCTACAGATCAGAACCTGATTGCATCTGTTTTGACAGTGCCTAGGGCAAAATACCCACAGAGATATAAATCTCATATTCTGTAAGAAGCACTTCAAGTACTACCTTTATTCATTATATTGCTATGGAGGTTTCTCCTCTCCAATATACTTTGCAAAGTTCCTGCTACTAAATGCACATTATCCTGGGAATCTTTTATCTTTGAGTAGCTCAGCCTGCTTTCTGATTTGTGCCTTAAATTCAACTTGTAATGAGAAAAGTGTTTTAGTTGGCTTTTGTCAGCAGGAAGAAGCATCTCTTTAGTGAGCTTTTACCTAGCAATGACCTCCTACTCCACCTGCTCCCAACAGTCAGAAACATGGAAACCGGAACACCTCCCATATAGAATTCAGCATCTACTCTGTAGCAGACAATGTGACTGCTTCATATCAGCACCACTCTCAAATGAGCTTGTAATAAACACCATTCGATTCTGGCAGTGCTGTATATTTATGCATGAAGACAGCTTAAGAACAAAATAATCAGGGCTTAGAGATTGTCTCTCTAATGGGATTTAGTGCATGAATACTCGGATGATTTGATCTTAATTTCCTGCATTTAACTAGTTGTTCTGGGCCAAGAAGGAAAAAGAACACGAAAACTAAAGGCTGTCTTCGAAAACTGCCCACCCAGCAGCCCTGCGAATCTTAAATCTCAGAGCTGTAGGCAAGAGCAAGCTGTGTGTTCCCTGTTGCCATGAGGATGCAAATGAGAAAGGAGTACCCAAAAAATTAGAACCCCCATTCCTTTGAAAGTAGCTGGCATTCTCCTTTAAGAGGAAGGGGCTGTCACTGGACTCAGTGGGCCTTGCTGATGTCTTGGCAACAGCAGGAGAAAAAGGTCCAAGCAAGAGTTGATTCGCCAGAGCATGTTGAGTGTGTTCAGAGTTAGTGACAGACCCCAAACCACAAGACTTCAGAACATCACCTAGAGAACTGAACACATTCAGACAAATTCTGCTATGTTTTTGTCTCTGCCCAGGGCAGTTACTCAGACTGTGACCCTCCCTGCCCCCTTCTCTTCTTGCTTCCCTCCTATACCACTCAGCTGCCAAGCCCTGGTCATGTAACCCCACCATGTCCCAGTGTCTCTGTCCCCTGCCTTTTATTCCAACTGTCGCTCTTGCTCAACTGCTCAGTAGCCTCCCACTAGCCACCCTGTCTCCAGGCTCTTGTCTCTCCAAGACATCTATCAGGAAAATTATACTGCTATGAAGGACATCATGAGAGAATTCCAAAATCCAAACCTTTATTATTATAGATCTCTAAGATCAGACTCTAAATTACCTTTGCAGTCTCATCACCCATGATGCCCCTTGGCACATGAGGACACACCAGGCCACTGTTCTTCAAACCCTCTGTATCGTCAGGGGTTTGTGCAGGCCTCTGAGTCTAGAACATGCCTCGCCTACCTCATTCTAGTCATCCTTCAGAACTGTTCAAAGCCTCACTCATCCTTCCAATTTCAATTCACATCCACTTCATTTCATTCAACAAAATAGGCTGAGTGCTTCCAAGTGCCTCTCATCAGAATCAGTCACGATTCTATGCCTACTACTCAATCTAGAGGTGAAATCTGGGGATCTGCATTTTAACAAGTTCCTCTGTTCTACCAGACAATATTTAGGGTTTGTTTTGAGAGATAAACATAAAAGTCTAAGCCCCACGACTGACTGAAAAGACTCCCTGTTGGCCAAGAATCTTCAAAGCTGAGTTCCTGGCCATAATGGGGTGAGATATGGCTTGGCCCTGTGTCCCCACCAAATCTCATCTTGAATTGTTCTCCTGTAATTCCAACGTGTTGTGGGAGGCACTGGCGGGAGATAACTGAATCATGGGGCGGTTTCCCCTCCACACCGTTCTCCTGGTAGTGAATAAGTCTCACAAGATTTGATACTTTTATAGCGGAAACCCCGTTCACTTGGCTCTCATTCTCTCTTGACCCTGCCATGTAAGAAGCGCTTTTCACCTTCTGCCATGATTGCAAAGCTTCACTAAACCTACTTACTAGTTGGGTGCGGTGGCTCACACCTGTAATCCCAGCACTTTGGGAGGCCGATGCAGATGGATCACCTGAGGTCAGGAGTTTGAGACCAGCCTAGCCAACATGGCAAAACCCTGTCTCTACTAAAAATACAAAAATTAGCCAGGCATGGTGGCACATGCCTGTAATCTCAGCTACTTGGGAGGCTCAGGTGGGAGGATCGCTTGATCCCGGGAGGCAGAGGTTACAATGAGCTAAGATCGTGCCTGAATGAAAGAGCAAAACTCCATTCCACCCTGGATGAAAGAGCAAAACGCCATCTCAAAATAAATAAGTAAATAAATAAAAACCTATTGGCCGGGCGCGGTGGCTCAAGCCTGTAATCCCAGCACTTTGGGAGGCCGAGGCGGGTGGATCACGAGGTCAAGAGATCGAGACCATCCTGGTCAACATGGTGAAACCCCATCTCTACTAAAAGTACAAAAAATTAGCTGGGCATGGTGGCGCGTGCCTGTAATCCCAGCTACTCAGGAGGCTGAGGCAGGAGAATTGCCTGAACCTAGGAGGCGGAGGTTGCGGTGAGCCGAGATCGCGCCATTGCACTCCAGCCTAGGTAACAAGAGTGAAACTCTGTCTCAAAAAAAAAAAAAAACCTATTTATCTTCCCAGTCTCGGGTATGTACTTATCTACAGCCTAAAAACTGACTAATACAGGGTGAGAGGCTGGACATGCCTGGTTACACCCTCTCCCTCTCTAACTGCCATTTGGTTTTCTTCCCTAGGGGTAAACAGAAACCAGGCCTTTCAAAGATGCCACCACTGACTTCAACCAAAGGTGGGGCTGCTGCCCCTCGCTTTGTACGGTTTGTACACAGCTGAACAACATTCCTTCCTAATAAGCGACCACCGACCACGGAGCAGTTCTGGCCAACTACGGAAGAGGCACAGTGAGGGTTTTCCTGTCCTCTGCTTCACCTTTTGACATCAGAGTCCTGAAAACTTCACCCCGAGATCACACTTTCAGTGCCACCATTTTTTGAACATGGGACCCATGGAGAAGCATGAGGCTCAATTGCACACGCGCAGGTTTCCCATCTCATAAATATTCACGGATGTAGCTTAGTGAGTATATGTATATTCTGCCACTCCATTCAGCATAAATCCCTGTCTCTTCTAACCTTCAAAGTGCCTGTTTCCAGCTTCTCGCCAGAGGCTATGCTTCCATGGCCCCCCTGAAGGCTGTAGCCCTTTTTGAAAAATAAAGCTCTCCCTTCCAAATTTATGAACCTCATCATTCTTCAGCTGATAGTTTGTAATAATTTCCTATCCAATTCTTATGGAGAACTGAGTTACAATAATATCTTCATTTACAAAGCATTTTCCGCACACCATTACCTTTAATCTTCATCACATTCTCATGAGGTAGATATTATGAATACCTCTCTTAATCAAATAAGAAAACTGAGGCTCATACTTTGAAAATTTGCATAGATTAGAATTTAATTTTGCTCTGAGCACCTTCTTTAGGCTCTCTTGAGGAAACAGGAACCACTAAAGCATTGCAACACCAGCATCTGGCAAGCACAGGTAGGACAGACGTCAGAGCCAAAAGGAATCTCAGCCATCAGTCCTTCATACTGACCCAGTCCTTTTATCATTTTAAATATACTTTTCTACTTTTGAGCTCTTTACCTCGAACGTTGTCTATGTTCAGTAACAAATGGCCATGAATTGCTGTCAGGCAATCACTGTATGTCCTAGAGCCTGAGTGGTATCCAATAAAAATTAAATTCTTTTGCCAGTAGGGAGTGAAACTGCTGAGTAGCATAAATTGGACTCCAGGCAATCTGGACACAGTGTACTGCCAAAAGCTAGGTCCAAATGTTTCTTGCCATTGTGCAATCTCACAAGCAACAGGTTTTGGAGGTGTTGGCTTTCCAAGGGTCTCTCCTCTCCTTATTGATGTTCATTCTATAACATTATCAGAAGCAGGACAGCAGGAATTCTCATGTAATTATAGTAGAATGAATGAAGCAAGACTATGTCATTGAAAAACATATCTTCACCAGATATTAACTTGGTCTTTTCAAGCAGAAGTTGTGCTGGGAAACGAGGTCACAGTGAATGGGGTGGGGCAACGGGGCAGGAACAGGAAGGAGGGAGGTAAATGGGAACCCACACTTGCTACATTTGACTCTTTCATTCAGCAGAAACTCTAGTTACAACAAAGTTTATCTGAAAACTGGGTGCAAAGTTACAATATGTTTCTGAGAAAAGAAGACCTTTTATCAGAGGAATGCCAGTCCTTTTAAACTGTCAGGCCCAGAGAGGCACTGAAATCAGAGAGCAATCTTTGAGCTATATATTCATGTCTAGAAACTGGTTACTATTGCCATAAGTAGCTATAAATTAACCTGATACTGCCACACGGGACTCTATAACCCAAAACCTACAGCTTAACAATGTAGAGCCCATCAATAGTTTCTTTGATATTAATGTAAATTGTTGGTAACAACTCAGGAATTGCTTTTTTTTTTTTTTTTTTTTTTTTTTGTTTTTTTTTTGTGGGCTTTTTTTTTTGTTTTTTTTTTTTTTTTTTTTTTTTTTTTTTTTTGAGATGGAGTCTTGCTCTGTCACCCAGACTGGGTGCAATGGCTCCATCTCGGCTCACTGCAACCTCCTCCTCCTGGGTTCAAGCGATTCTCCTGCCTCAACCTCCTGAGTAGCTGAGATTACAGGCGCCTGGCAGGAGGCCCAGCTAATTTATTTATTTGTTTGCTTTAATTAGAGATAAGTTTTCACCATGTTGGCCAGGCTGGTCTTGAACTCCACAGGTGTGAGCCACCACACCCAGCCTGTTTGTGTTTTAGTAGAGACGGGGTTTCACCATGTTGGCCAAGCTGGTCTTAAACTCCTGACTTTGTGATCCATCCACCTCGGCCTCCCAAAGTGCTGGGATTACAGACGTGAGCCACCACACCCAGCCAGGAATTGCTTCTTTTTTCCCTTTAAAAATACGCTTGTGAAAAATAAATAAATAAATAAAATTCTGCAAGTAGCTAACTTAAAAAAAAAAAAAAAAAAAAAAAAACCACCTGTGGCCAGCTACAGGGATTACAGGCATGCATCGCCATGCTCGGCTAATTTTTGTATTATTTTTAATACAGACAGGTTTCTCCATGTTGGTCAGGCTGGTCTCCAACTCCCCACTGCAGGCATCTGTCTATCTCGGCCTCTGGAATTGGTGAGATTACAGGCGTGAGCCACCACACCCAGCTGGTTTTCATTCTTAAAGAATCCATGGGCCTGGGCACGGTGGCTTACACCTGTAATCCAGATCTCAAGGTCGGAAGTTCAAGACAGCCTGTCCAACATGGTGAAACCCTGTCTCTACTAAAAATTCAAAAAAATAGCCAGGCGTGGTGGCCGGCACCTGTAATGCCAGCTACTTGGGAGGCTGAGGCAGCAGAATCATTTGAACCCAGGAGGCGGAGACTGCAGTGAGCTGAGATCACACCTTTGCACTCCAGCCCAGGAGACAGTGCAAGACTCCATCTCAACAACAGCAACAACAAAAAAAAAAAGAATGAAAGCCAGGGGCCTTTCTTGGGTGGCTATTGTGAATGTGAGGCTCCGACCACTTCACTGTCGGCTGCCTGCTTCCTCCCCTTCTCTTCCTACCGCTTCCTCCTGCCTCCCCGCTCCCTCTGTCCCATCACTAGACAGGAACATTGTGCCCCACAGGGCTGGCTTTCACAGTCTGTCACCTGTGCAGATGACAAGGGCCTCATGTTTGGCTCTGTTTTGCGTTTTAATTGTATTGTTAATAATACTGTGTACAGTTATGGGGTACAATGCGATGTTGCTACATAGGTAGACATTGTGGAGTTATTAAATCAAGCTAACGAACATAGGCATCACCTCACATTCTGACAATTTCTTTGTGATAAGAACATTTAAAATCTGTTTTCGCCGCCTAGAAATATAATAATACATTATTATTAACTGCAGTTGGCACGCTCTGCAGTGGATCACTAGAACCCCACGCTTAGTTGAGTCTCTGTAATGGCCATCTTGAAATGCTTAATAATCATTTTAGCAAAGGCTCCTGCATTTTCATTTTGCACTGGATACTGCCAATTTTGTAGCGGGTCCTAGTGCCTGGTCTTATGGGGATGAAAGTGTAGGACAACCACCCTGATCTGCTGCCTCGCCAGGAGAGGAGAAGCGAAGGTTGGGCTATAGGGCACAGAGCAGTGATCTGATCCCACCTTGTTCATCCCTGGTGAGTCCCCAGCACCCAGCACAGAGCCAGGAACAGGGATATGACCAGTGTCTGTGGAAGGAAAAGGAAGGAGAGATTATGAGGGGCATTAGGGTTAACACAAGCACTGTTTCAGCTGAACACCCCCCAGAAGAAAAGCACAATCCTTGCCCCTCTTCCCCCTTTGCTGTGTGAAATGAAGAAGGGACTGTGCCTTCTCCCCCAGGGACAAGACTCCAAAGTAAACGAACAGCATATACTTGACCTTAAGTCCTTCCTCATTGGCACAGAGTGAATTCTCCCTTTACAAGTGGACTTAAATGGCCAGTATTTGGGTTACTGTGAGCAAAGGCAGCCACACACTTAGAGAACAGGCACCCTGGATAAGTCCTCCTTCCATGGTCACCCAGCCAGCCAGAGAAGTCCCTTTTCCCTCCCACTGCACGGTCACATGGAGACTGTTTCACACGTCCTTCCCTTGGCTGCCTTTGAGACTCCCCAGGTGAGGTCCTCCCAGAAGCTTCTGTGCCTCCCCCTGCCCACAGCCACCTTCCTCAGCCCCCTACACCTCCTCTGTGTGAAGGGGCAGTTGCTGCTTCTACTTACTGTGACCTCCCTGAAGACAACTGGGACTTCCTCATCCCTCTTGCCCCAGCACTAACCCTGCCCTCTCCTCTCCAGTATCCAAAATGACTCTGGTGCTTAAATGTCACCATTCTCATAGGTTTCGTTAAGAAACAAGTTTTTGGCAGGGTGCTGTGGCTCACACCTATAATCCCAGCACTTTGGGAGGCTCAGATGGGCAGACCATTTAAGGCCAGAAGTTCAAGACCAGCCCAGCCAACATGGCAAAACCCCATCTCTACTAAAAATACAAAAACTAGCCAGGCATGGTGGTACACGCCTATAGTCCCAGGCACTAGGGAAGCTGAGGCAGGAGAATCACTTGAAACCAGGAGGCAGAGGTAGCAGTGAGCCAAGGTCATGCCGCCGCACTCTAGTCTGGCCAACAGAGCAACTCCATCTAAAAAAACAGACAAATGGGCCAGACAAGGTGGCTCATGCCTGTAATCCCAGTACTTTGGGAGGCCAAGGAAGGTGGATCACACAAGGTCAGGACTTGGAGGCCAGCCTGGCTAATGTGGTCAAACCCTGTGTCTACTAAAAATACAAAAATTAGCCAGGGATGATGGCACACACCTGTAATCCCAGCGACTCCAGAGGCTGAGGCAGGAGAATCACTTGAACATGGGAACCAGAGGTTGCAGTGAGTTGTTATCAAGCCATTGCACTTCAGGCTGGGAGACAGAGCAAGACTCCATCTCAAACACAAACACACAAACGGAAAAACACAAGTTTTTTCCAAGTCTGCAATTTAAGTACAAATCTGTTGGGAGAGATGACACATTGAATCCACCATCCACTCCAGTAACTGAGTGGGAATCAGTGTGAACTGAATCACTTAGTAAATGGAAATAACACAGTGAGGGGAGAAAGGAGAATGAGGGGAAGCTAAAGAGTGGGCTCCACGCCATCCAGGAACCTGGAGCAAGCGAGGGGCTGCCACCAGGCACTGGGAAGGGACAAGTGACACTTCCCAGACATGGAAGACATTTGTCCATCTGGTTGGAGGAGTGAAAGAAGATGCCCCCAAAATACAGTTGTCCTCTGCCAAAATAAGATTTTTTTTTTTTTTTTTTGAGATGGAATCTCTCTGTGTCACCCAGGCTGGAGTGCAATGGAACGATCTCAGCTCACTGCAACCTCCGCCTCCCGGGTTCAAGCAATTCTCCTGCTTCAGCCTCCTGAGTAGCTGCGATTACAGGTGTCCACCACCATGCCCGGCTAATTTTTGTATTTTTTGTAGAGATTGAGTTTCACCCTGCTGGCCAGGCTGGTCTCAAACTCCTGACCTCAGGTGATCAACCTGCCTCAGCCTCCCAAAGCGCTGGGATTACAGGTGTGAGCCCCCGCACTTGGCCCAAAATAAGATTTTGAATACATCCTATAAACACTTA